GGATTAAGGGGTAGAAAATGGATGGATGGTTTGGAGCTGTGCACTCTAAGAAATGAAACATAGGGGTTGTCAAATATAATTCATACTGTTCTTTTCAATGTAGTTACAATTGTTAATTTTGGGGTTGTAATTAATAATGTTTCATTGGATTTAATTAAGTTCAAACATTGTTATCACTATGTGATCGAACTATTTTGAATGTCTTGAACATCTTTAATTAAATCCAAAGCACCTTTTCCACACCCTCTGAGCATGTGCAGAGGTTCACGCATGCGCTGTCTCCAGTGTCCAGCATCCACTGCCATCGAGTCCTTGCCGCAGTCATGAGTAACGTCATCAACGTGCAGTTTTGGGTAATTACTTCTTTATTATTATCAAATATTAACTGAGTGGTACTTTGGGATAATATGTTGGGTATTTCATTCAGAAATATTGTCTGTAATGTGTTTTGTCATCTTTTGTCACAGTTGATAGCTATCTTAAAATCCTTTTTATGTGGTTCCCTGAGATGATATTGTATTTTGTGGCAGTATATGGCAATCGGTATTGTTATGAAACAATAATTTGACTATTAGACGTTATTGTACTTTCCCCAACTGCGTGTAAAATAGTAAAATAGCATTCGAAAGCTATAAAGCACACTTTTCCCCCCCTCACTTTTGTTTTCACGAGTTTAACAGCAAACAAGTCATGGGGTCAAACTCTGTTTACAAAGTGCGGTAGTGATCGGTGCGAACTGCAGACAAACTGTATTGAGACCAGCTCCCTAAGGTGGTCTCGGTACGGTTCTTTAGTCCGGACCAAATTTAACTGGTCCACTTTCACACCTGCTCAAATGAACCGTACTTGCAGGTGATCCAGACTCCAGTCCGTTTTAAGTGGACTAAATGGTGCAGGTGTGAAAGCACCCTAAGTCAAGGCTGTTACCACGGGCTGTTTTTTAATTTGTTTATTTGCGCTGTCCGCCTGAAAGAGATTGTGAAGGGAGAATAACATGGACGTGGCTCCGTGAGGTCCACAGTGGACCTGCAGCGGGGGATCCACGGTGAAAGGACTGATTCCCGGTCCCGCACGGGGATCCGCAGCGTATGCGCCGCGATGTGTCAACTTCATGTATACTTTTTGCTAGTATGGGTTTTATTATCCTGTTAGCTTTAGTTAGCTCCGTTAGTGGCGAAAGAGATGGCTATGCTAAATGCTAAATACACTGGGGACTTACAATCACTATTGATTGAGTACATTTTGTGTGGATTATTGTTGAGCCTGGTGTGTTTATATTTTCTCTCCAGGTTGCCATCTGTGAGGTGTAACTGCTGTGCCCTAAAACTCCATCCTAAAGGTAAATTATTATTTTTGGCTTTTGTTGTATTTTCTCTTTCTAATCTTCTTATTTGATCTCTCAGGTTGTGAAGGTGGAGTTGTAAGCTCTGTTCTGAAAGTATATATCTGCAAGGTACTAAAACGTGAATGCATCCTTGATGATCTTCCTGAATGAGAATCCTCAAAACCTCATCAAAGAGTATAATCGTAAGTTACACTGAAATCGGTTATACAGGTGTATATACAGGTGTATACAGATGTAAACATGCCAAGATGACTCAATCAGCTGTGATCGCTACAACCAACAATTTATCTTGTGTGTATGAATATGGTCTTGAGTGACATCACTTTGGCTGCATGTGTGAAAAAAAACGTATTCACTGACTTTTGTGATCATGGATTAGTTGGGCAATTATTATTATTTTATTATTTGTTTATTTGGTAGGGACAGAACCAGAAGCATTGTTACAGGAACCGATGCTGTGTTCATAGGCCGTATAGCTAACAGCTAGTTTGCAGACCTGGTCCCTATTAGATTAGATTAGATTATATCAATCTATTTTCTATTTTTTTAAATAAGTAATTGATGGTCCCAACAGTCTTGTAAAATGAACATGTTACCTTTTGCATAATGTGACAACACTTGTTTATGGTATATTTGAAAACCAACCAATACTTCTTATTGCCGTTCACAATCACAGCTGTCAACGTGTAATGGCTTTAAAAGATATTTGTGTTCTTTCAGGATGTCTGTCATGAAGAATGAGGAACTTGAGCAGATTGACGTTTATGAAGTCACCTGTGAAGGCGCACAACCTGGTGACTCCCTTGAAGATGAACGTGATTGAAAGATGCTCCAGGTGCTCCGGTGCTGCTGGATCTTGGAGATGTGGTGTGATGTGCATTGTGCACTAATTTACTGCCTCAATCTGAGTTATCCAAGAACACTCCGCTGCACATTTGAATTCATCCAGAAAGTGCTTTTGGGACTGGATGATAAAAAACTTTCAAACAAAACACAAGTGCTGAAGAGCAGGAGCTGCTCCTGAGTCCACAGGAGTTTAACGTCCTCCTGGAGAGTGATAAAGCCTCCATCGAGAGAGTTCAACAGAGAATGTTACATTCTCAATTGTCTTCATAAACAAAAGTTGGACTGTACAGTTTGTAGGTCACCTGTGTTTGTGAGAAAATCATTTTTGTTTAATGCTCTCTGAAAAGTATTTTCACAATCTGCTGTCTGCAGTTATTTGGTTTTGTCTGAGAAAAAAAGACTATTCACAAATGGGCACAAAGTCGCCCAGTTTTTGTTTAATCTAACTTGTTCCAAAGTTTGTGAATGCACTATTTTTCAATGTTTTGTTCATGTAATATGCAGTAATTTTTGTTTAAAATGTGACACTTTTGAATGTTCTAAATATTTGAGATAAATAACTACATTAAATGCATTTTTATGTTTATTCCTTGTTTGTGCTGCAAAGGTTCTGCAAATGTTGAGCAGTAGAAACATTGTGTGTCGTATGAACTCTGCAGATCAACAGCAGATCGACAAATGTATAAGATCTTTGTCCTGCACTTGATGTAATCCATTTGTCACTTTGTTGAAAGAGAAAGAATGTTTTAGATTTTCAATACCACTCCTTTATGTACACTTTTTCAAAGGAGTTTTGCCTCGTTAAAAATAAAGATTGTTAATGCAACATAATTGTGTATTTGTATTTGCTCAGTCATAGATGTTTCCAGGTTATTGAATGTTTAATTGTTAATGTCTCTGTGTGAAAGTAGAGAAAGGTTCTTCAGCTGTCGTCTAGAGAGGTTGAATCTTTTCGTCTCACATCCTAGAGCTGGGATCTATAAGAGGAGATCCTCGAGGATGTGAGATGAAAGATCCAACCTCTGATTAGACTAAAGACGACAAGTGCAATGCTATCTAAATTTTACACTACACTAGTTTTGATTACACATTCATATTAAAATCTATTTAAAAAATAAACAATGATGTTAATAAATCATAACTAATATTGTTAATAAATCATAACTAATATTGTTAATAAATCAAAACTAGTATTGTTCATAAATCAAAACTAGTATTGTTCATAAATCAAAACTAATATTGTTAATAAATCAAAACTAATATTGTTGATAAATCATAACTAATATTGTTAATAAATCAAAACTAATATTGTTAATAAATCAAAACTAATATTGTTAATAAATCATAACTAATATTGTTAATAAATCAAAACTAATATTGTTAATAAATCATAACTAATATTGTTAATAAATCAAAACTAATAATGTTTATACATCATAACTAAGGGTGTTAATTAAATCATAACTAATAGTGTTAATTAAATCCAAAGTACAATGCTAGTGATGCACTTAAACACAAATGAATAATGTTAATTAAATCCAACATAACATTGTCAATAACCATTTAACAGCATTCAGTAGAATGTAATCACGCAGAGCTGTTGCATTTAAATAACAATTTTACATCTGATATAAGGGACCACAGAGTTTGCAGCTAACAACAAAGTTATTTCACAATTAATTGACTGAGTTTTATGGAAAAGTTTGCCATAACTGTATAAATTAAATCCAACACCTTATTTCTTAGAGTGTGGAAACACGGCTGTTTTCTGCTGTCTCCTCCATGGATGTCTAACCATGTAAAATAGAATAAGATAAGATAAGATAAGAATTCCTTTATTCGTCCCACAGTGGGGAAATTTCGATAACAACTTTGGCCTAATCTTTGTGTGCTTTTGTCCAGGTGACCTGCAGTCAAACTACAGTAGTTTTGCAGGTCATCTGGACAGAAGCACACAAAGATTAGGCCGAAGTTGTCATTCTATTTACATGGTTAGACGTCCATGGAGGAGACAGAGAAGGCCGCCATGCTCACACAGCTCCAAACCAAGGTCTTCTCCATTAGCATCCTAAAGCCTGCTTCCTCCTGGCATTAACACACGACTCCCCATTCACTCTGGAGTCAAGGGTGGATTACAATACAGACAGTATATAATTCAGCCACGTATGATTTACCATAATGATAACTTAATTCCAATATCAACATTCTTGAATCTTGATGTAGAAATGAACTAAATAGTCAAAGTTATGAAGACCATATAAGTACATGAACAAGAAATTCACTTTGAAAACTAAAAAGCCATCGTCTTTAATGAATAATAATAATGCATTGGTTTTATAAAACACTTTTTTGAATTATGCATTTACTTCATAAAGGAGTAACCATTATGTAGCATCGGCCCCTTCCGCCACCACCAACCGTTCACACACACACCAGACTCATTCTAATGTGGGTGAAGTGTCGTATTGCCTCCAGACAACAACATTTTCACATTGGTGTTCCCAGAGGTCTCCCATCATAGAACTAACAAGGCCCTTCCCTGCTTAGCTTCAGAGGTCTGACAGGAGCTGTGGCTTTCCCCTGCAGGTTTGGCCAGGTTGATTGTCAAAATAAAATACTTGATGCCATGTGGATCAACCAAAGCAAAGACAAAAAAATATATATATATAACACATCTATATAAGTATAACAAAAGGCTCAGTTAAATATGAACCAAAACAGGTCACCAAAAACATCCAAAATGACTCAAAATGCTGCATAATCTCTGCAGCGTTCGATGACATTCAAGCGGATTTGGGCCACAGTTCAGATGTTCCGTGAGCTGATCGGCGTCTGTCTTTATCAGCAGTGGCAGCAGGATAAGGGCAGAGTCGTGCGGACCCTTCATCGCATCTCCAGCTCCACCCAGGGACGTTCTGAGGCAGCCAGCCAGCCCCAGATAGTGCGTGTAATCCCCCCCCAAGAGCTGATGGGCCGGCCTGGGGGGGTCTGTCTGCGCTCCACGTGGGGAGATGCTTATCGGACAGGCCGAGGACGGGAGGACGCCGTGAAGGTCGGACTTACATAATGCACTGTAAACATATAGCCGTGAATGCAGTGGCTCTAATCATGGGGTCCTCTGTGTAAGTGTTAAAGCTGGGGTACTTAACTTTGATGCATATTACACATACAGATACATATTGTTTTGTCCCATTAATACTATTGTTAAAGTCAAAGGTTTTCAAACAAATCAGACCACAACTGGCATTCTTCGTTGTATTATGAAACGTGTCAAGATAAGATACACTTTATTGATCTCACAGTGGAGATATTTGCAAATTTGACCTTTCCATACTTGTAAGAATGAGCCCTGGGAGTCACAATTTGACTCCTTAGGTCGAGAGCTGATCGGTCCTCTCATTTTTTACCTCTATATTTGACAAAGCTGATATGCATGCCAAAAAGGCTTTTTAATGTATGTATTAATTCATATTTCAGGCAAACACATAGCATTAAAAATTAAATATTATTTTGACTGAAAGGGAAGGGGAAAAATAACTTAATTTGGTATTGATTACTTAGATTGGTATAGTTACAGTTTATTCGGTTGCCCGGCTTTAACCTTGTAAAACCAATTATAAACACAACTTATTGGAATGACTGAGACTGAGCACTTTCTATTGATGCGTCTGTTTTTTGTTTTTGTCTATGAACTCCTGTGAAAGACTGTGGGAAACCTCACATTTAAAAAGTAGAATCTGGGTTTGGGTTGATTCTCAGAGGCACTTTGACACTGTATGGATTATCTGCCGAGAAAAATCTTACAATTCCACATTCCCTATTCCGTAATCTTGGGATTATATGGCAAAAGGTCCATCCGCAGCAGGCACAGACTTGTATGTACTCCTTCGCAGCATACATTGTGTCAGCGATCAGGCAGAGAATATATTTATCCGTATCGTTTGACCCCACTCGCCTGCCAGCTCACACCTCATTTTACTCTTTCCATACATTTTACGGCACATTGTAAAGGTTAAGCATCCGTCGCGTTTACATTTATGTACGTCGCGCTCCATAAACACACAGAAAACGAAGGAGAAGCCGATTGAATTCCACCGCTCTTTCATTCTGCCAGTGAATCGGTTTGTGTCTTTATTGGACGGTGGGAAGTCTGGACTCCCTCAAGCTCTCTTTCTCTGTTCATTGAAACAGTACAAATGGCACTCGGCAAAAAAACAGCGATGTGGGAGATATAAAACAGGGCAGGAAGCAATATCGGGGAAGAATAAGACGGCACACACACAAACACACACACACACATACACACACGCAATGGTTGGACAAAACCCGCGGGGCCCTCACTGATAAAAGAGCGTAGACCCATGAGTAACAGACTCTCTCTCTGGGACTTGATAATAACCAGTGTGGCCATGCTGTCAGATGGACCGCTTTTTTTCCCTCCAACTTTTGCCAATTGATAACTTCACTAAAAGAGCTCTCCTCGGGCTATGAGCTGCAGTGGAGTGGGCTGCATTCTCCCACGACGACAGTGTTTACTACTGAAAGTGCAATGTTGATGGCTTTTACTTGTGCAGAAGTGTTTAGCTCAAAGCGCGGATTAGATTTTAAAGAGCACATTATGCACAGTTGGATTTTGATGAGACTTTTTCCAGAGTTAAAGCGGAGTTTGGTTATAACAATCTTACCCAAAGATGTAAGATGTGTTTGATTCTGGTATTTGTTGGCATGGCTTCAAACATAAAGATATACAAATTTAATTTTTTGTCAAGAATCAACAACAAGTGGGACACAATCGTGAAGTGGAACAAAATGTATTGGATAATTTAAACTTTTTTAACAAATAAAAAACTGGAAAGTGGGGCGTGCAATATTATTCGGCCCCCTTGCACTAATACTTTGCAGCGCCACCTTTTGCTGCAATTACAGCTGCAAGTCGCTTGGGGTATGTCTCTATCAGTTTTGCACATCGAGAGACTGGAATTCTTGCCCATTCTTCCTTGCAAAACAGCTGGAGCTCAGTGAGGTTGGATGGAGAGCGTTTGTGAACAGCAGTCTTCAGCTCTTTCCACAGATTCTCGATTGGATTCAGGTCTGGACTTTGACTTGGCCATTCTAACACCTGGATACGTCTATTTGTGAACCATTCCATTGTGGATTTGGCTTTATGTTTTGGATCATTGTCCTGTTGGAAGATAAATCTCCGTCCCAGTCTCAGGTCTTTTGCAGACTCCAACAGGTTTTCTTCCAGAATGGTCCTGTATTTGGCTTCATCCATCTTCCCATCAATTTTTAGCCATCTTCCCTGTCCCTGCTGAAGAAAAGCAGGCCCAAAGCATGATGCTGCCACCACCATGTTTGACAGTGGGGATGGTGTGTTCAGGGTGATGAGCTGTGTTGCTTTTACGCCAAACATATCGTTTTGCATTGTGGCCAAAAAGTTCGATTTTGGTTTCATCTGACCAGAGCACCTTCTTCCACATGTTTGGTGTGTCTCCCAGGTGGCTTTGTGGCAAACTTTAAACGACACTTTTTATGGATATCTTTGAGAAATGGCTTTCTTCTTGCCACTCTTCCATAAAGGCCAGATTTGTGCAGTGCACGACTGATTGTTGTCCTATGGACAGACTCTCACACCTCAGCTGTAGTTATCTGCAGTTCATCCAGAGTGATCATGGGCCTCTTGCCTGCATCTCTGATCAGTCTTCTCCTTGTTTGAGATGAAGGTTTGGAGGGACGGCCGGGTCTTGGTAGATGTGCAGTGGTCTGATACTCCTTCCATTTCAATATAATTGCTTGCACAGTGCTCCTTGAGATGTTTAAAGCCAAATCCGGCTTTAAACTTCTCCACAACAGTATCTCGGACCTGCCTGATGTGTTCCTTTGTCTTCATGGTTCTCTCTGCGCTTCAAACAGAACCCTGAGACTATCAAAGAGCAGGTGCATTTATACAGAGACTTGATAACACACAGGTGCATTCTATTTATCATCATCAGTCATTTAGGACAACATTGGATCATTCAAAGATCCTCACTGAACTTCTGGAGTGAGTTTGCTGCACTGAAAGTAAAGGGGCCTACTTTTCAGTTTTTTATTTGTTAAAAAAGTTTAAATTATCCAATAAATTTTGTTCCACTTCACGATTGTGTCCCACTTGTTGTTGATTCATGACAAAAAATTATAATTTTATATCTTTGTTTGAAGCCTGAAATGTGGCGAAATGTTGAAAGGTTACAGGGGGCCGAATACTTTCACTGTATATATCTATTAATGCATGTATTTATTTTATTTATTTGAATTTAGGACAGTACATATTGATGAATGTGTCTGCAAACAGCGTTAACATAAAAATGCTGGAATAAGCACAACAGCTAAATTGCATCCATTGTCCTAAGGCAGGTCAGAAACACACAAACACACAGTTAGGTAAAAGTACAAACAATAAGTCGACAATCACCACAAAAAGAATTTAAAAGAGAAAAGAAAGAGAAAATCTAAAGAAGAGTAGATCTGCCTTAAATGAGATGGACTTTATAACTTAACATGATTTATATAAGATCATGTTAAGTTCCCTTTTGTAGCATAACGAGGGTCGTGGGCTCACATTCGGTGCACTAACATACCAGCAACGCCAGGGTTTTTAAACCCAAAATAAAAAACTAACGCCCTAAGGAACACAGGTAAGTTCATACAAGGAGGCATGTTCCATGAGTGAGCACATTTATTAAATCAGTTTCTCTCACTCTAGTTTTTCACAAGTATACAAAAGCTTGTTCACATTCACATTACATAAATCAATTTGTCCATGTGTCGTAGAAGCAAAATAAAAGACAAGTATCTGAACAAGAAAAGTAAAGCGGAAAAAGAAAGGCGAGATGGCAGCGGGGGTCACGTCCAGATCTTGCTTCCTGCCTGGAAATAAAATATTAGAAAACGGCAGGAACATGATCTGCTTTCCAACAGATCCAACAACTCGCGCTAACCTACCCTCTGGAACACTGTCATTGCGCACGGTCAGTAGGCCGTTGTGCACAACATCCTGGGTCCAGCCCACACCTGGACCCACAGAAAAAGGGCAGGCAGCTGAGCCAGTGGGAAATGAACGCGACCCATTACAGCACACCCCTAGGCCACAGAAAGGCAATTCAATAAATAAAGACGTGAGATTATTAAAAAGTCTGAAGGACGCTACTTGTACTGTCAGGAGGGTGGACACGGGAGGCGGAAGTCTGCGTAGTGTAGACAGAGAGAGGCGCACTGAGGCATTTTACACCTCCGTGCGCCTCCTGCTGGTGGCCACGCAGATCCACATCACCACACTTTCTTCAAAATGATCGCAAGCCTTGGAAGAAAGTAATATAATTGCATGGCGCCGTAAAGATGGCGCCGTGGCAAGAGCTCTGGGGTGTGCCGTCCGGTGCACAATGGGGTAGTCTTGCACAGTTTTTCCAATGTGGTTTTACTGCAAATGGCAAATAAAATGAATCTGAATCTGTATCTATTCTTATCCACCATCTACTCTCTCTAAGGGACCGATGGTGAGTGATTAATAAAGATTTCTTACTTACACAAGACACACAAAGGGAAATATTTTAGCTGGTTGATCAGACCGACAGACCGCCAACGTGCGTGTCAAGGCTACTACACAAACAACCAAATTGGGTCAAAATGGCTGCTCCGGGAGTTCGGGATTTTTTTGTAGACCAGCCTTTCCACTTTTTGAAGAAAACTCTCTGGTCTTATTTGACAGGTCAAGGTTAGGGTATGTATCACCAGAATGATTGACAGTTAGGGGGGACCAATAGTCTTGATGATCTACCCGGAAGTAGAAAATCCGCCTACATAACTTTTAAAGCTTTGCAAAATGGAGAGAATGATTGTTCATCAATCATCAAACTATCCTCAATCTTTAAAGCAATAGTTTGAGGTTGGTTTCATGACGGCAGAAGAGAGGCAGATCCAGTCCCTTTGTCTCTGGCACCATTTCCAAGTCTCACTCTTGCTTTTTTATAGATCTATGATATTGATGAATTATATTTATTGTTTTTTTTTTTTTTTCGTCCTATTTGTATATATTAGTATTCGTGTATATACATATATAACATATGCATTTATTTCTCTACTTTTTTGTTCTATTATTTGTTGGTATTTTTTAAATTCTTATTATGGTTTGCCTCTTTTTTCACCCAATAAAAAAAAAACCCTACTGACTGCCAGCCGTTGTTGATGATTTAACGGACTTTCAAGACCCACAGAATATCGTGTGCTGGAACAATGCAAAATATGAAACCAGATTCTGAAAGACTGGACTGTCTACTTTAATCAGCAAAAATGTCTTGATTTCTACCTAGTTTTGTTCTCCTGTAATCTCCAGTCGAATGGAGGGAAGTTTGAAGGGAATCACCGGTCTCAGCCAAATACGTCCATGGCAGTCAATGAGATTTTTATCTTGAAAGCTGCAGTTAGAGTTTGGTTTCACGACGGCAGAACAGAGTCAGATCCAGTCCCTCTGTCTCCGGGGCCTTTTCCGACTCCTTCTCTTGTTGCTTCATGTGGTTCAGTCGCTGTGCCCTGACTCCGCCGCCGGGTCGAGCATGAGCCCTGACCACTTGCACGGCTCACATTTGGCCTCGCACTTCGCCCCGATGTGAACTCAGGGATATTTTTAGTCCCGGTCTTACTCCTCCTCGCACTGTCGTCTTAATAAACGGCTCGTCTGCGGAGGGAGAGGCAGCGGCAGGATATGAAAGCGAGATCCTGACGAGCCCTGACAAAGGCAAAGGCAATATTGTGGCTGTGTACATTTTGGTAATTACTGCAGAGAATAAATGTCTTCTGCTTTATCGGGTACAAAAATGGCGTTGCTTTATCGGCCTATAAGGTCGAGGCGGCTCCCACGCAATCACTTTTATTCCGGTTCGACGTCTAAATACTTCAGTAAAAGTTAATCGCCGAAACAAAGAGAGAGAGGAGTCAGTTTATGTTCAGATGAGAAGCTTTAGCGAACAGAGCGAAAGAAAGCAGTGATTGCACAATATATATTGAAATAGTATGCAATTGATATGTAATGATTTGAAAATGTAAAGAAAATAAAAATAATAGCAGTATTATTGTTGATTCCTCAGCAACAGATCGGAGAATCAAACAGCTAGCCACCAGTATTGTCATATTCCATTTGAAAAGTGCATCGAGAACGGTAAATTTTAGATTTTCTCCCAAAAAACGCTATTTACACCAGTAACAATAGTAAGTAAGTAAGTAATTTATATAGCGCATTTTACAGACCCAAAGCGCTTCACAATATTCAGAGTTCAGACGTTTTTTTCCCACTCTTTCCACTCCACTCATTACATGCAGACCTACTGTACATGCTTTGAGTGGTAGGGGGAAACCGGAGCACCAGGAGGAAACCTACACAGACACGGGGAGAACATGCAAACTCCACAGAGAAAGGCCTGGAGGTGGTATTGCACCCAGGACGTTTCATTAGTCTTTATTGCTAATGACATTACTGCAAATCCACCCTGTACAGGTTTGTGGTTATGATTTTTTCAATGTCGATGCTGGAAATAAAAGTGGAAAACTATTGTGGCCCCCTTCCTCCCCCTGACCCCCCACTTTCGTCACAGACCCCCTCCCCCCCCCCCACATGCAGCAGGGAGCACATAGATCTGTTCAGAGCCATTGGAAAGATTTGTGATGCAGCTGACTTCAAGGCTTTCGATGTCTCCCCAGGGACCAGAGGCTCACGACAGGCAGAGGGTGCGAGGGGCTGGTGTGAGGGGGGCTGATGCGGGGGGGGGTTCCATGGCACTGGTAGGGTGCCATGGCAGTGAACGCTTGTAAATATCCACTGAAACCTGACGGAACATGTCAAACGCAAAGTATTGTCTGCCTCAAGCCTGTCTGACACCCGGGAAGCAGGGTCGAGATTCTCTTTTCACTGGAAGCGCAAAAAAAAATAAAAACAAAAAAAAGGTTCCAATGGAGCCTAATTAATTCAATGAAACAGTCTTTTCTATGAGTCATTGTTGGGATGGAGGTGCCAAAAGGGTCTGGAGGCAAAAGCATGGGTGGAAATGCTAATGGGAAATAGCAACGGCTGGAGTGCACAGTTAGACTCACACTGGAGCCACAATCATCCAATAAAACGCACAATAGATGTACATTAGAGCCAGAGCTGAATTCACGCCTGGTATTTGCGGAGTTATAGATGAGTTCCGATTGCGTTGGCCGTGCAGTTGGCAGAGTTCAGGGTGTAGGAGAACACGCTGACGCAAGCCCAAAAAAAAAATCATAACTTTTGCTTGTTACTCGCCTCCTCTCACATGCAGTGCTTTGCAAAAGTATTCATACGCCTTGAAACCTTGCAGATTGTGTCAGCTACAAACGGATATATTTTACTTTGAATGTTTTACTGGAAGCAAGACTAGCCTGGTCGTACCACACCATAGTACAAATTACATTTCGTACTAAGGTCTGGATTTGCTCCATTGGGCTCCGTTAACAAGTGGGAGGGGTTAACTCCTTTTGCAGATTGAAACGATTAGATCTGAGTTTACCGTCACGTAGGTAATGCGCATGAGTAAGTCGTTAGCATTTAGCCTAGCCATCTCCTTTGCCGCTAATGGGGCCCGTGGGGAGTAGTGCCACCATACAACCAGATACCACATACAAAAAAAAGATTCATACATGATTTTGTTTTGAAAAATTACATAATGATTCAAGTTTTGGATGTTGACGATGTTGACATTTCTGGACATTGGTCATCCGTCCACAACGTGTTTGCTATTGTTGACGTTTCTGAGTTTGATCTGTTTGATTCTCTGATCTGTGCTTGAGAAATCAGCAACTTTGTCAAGTGTATTTTAGGGCTATACAAAAATAAATGGTATTGAATTGACAAAAAAAATGGGGTTTGCATAAGTAACCAAATTGCATGAATACATCCTAAGTAGAATCCCCATCTCATGCAAATTTTCCACCCATCAAGTCTGACCCTGTCCCTCGTCCCTGCTGAAGAAAAGCAGCCCCACAGCACGATGCTACCACCCCCATAATTGAAACGGGATGCTGCACTAACGGTGATAAGCAGTGTTCATTAAAAGCCATAAGAAAATACTTTTACGAGACACATTATATACTTTTATTATACGGCTCCTCAGAGCAGCAGTAGAACGCTCCATTGATTTGAATGTAATTTCAAAACGTTCTACCGGTCATTATTTTCTATAACGGACCTCTCAAAACAATAATGACCGCTGCCCATGGCAACGCACTCTCTGCTTGTCTTTCAAATGCGTGGATAACTCCGCAAGTAGTTCCGGCACTCCTGAGCTAGCCACGCTCAATCAACACACTTAAATGTTAATCGGAGAATACTTATACATATACATTCTTCACACACGTGCACAGAGATTTTCAGAATTTTCTGGTCTTGTCTTCATGACAAAAATACTATTTCTCTGCGTCAAAAAGCGATCGTGAAAAACCCGGAAGTAGTTCTGGCCGCTCAATTAACGCAAATGCCAATCAATCAACGCAATGAAATGTTTATCGGAGAGTGAATTATACATATCCAGTCTTGATACAAGTGCACGGAAGTTTTCAGAATTTTCCGTTTACGTTTTCATGACAAAAACACTGATGTAATGCGAGAAAAGGCGATACCGAAAAACCCGGAAGTAGATACCGGCACATTTTAAGATACCGGCACATTTTCGGACACATTTGCAGAGGATCGATTTTAGGTTAGGTTTATGTTTGGGTCACTCACCGCTGATGTTCAGAATTCTTTGTTCAGTTTTCATGCAGTTCCAGAGAGTTCTAGTTTGGAAGTTGCCAGCCTAACTGTTGCCCGCGGTTGCCGAGCAACGGGAAAACTTTTTGGGACTACTTTATTTGTTGTCATTAAATAAACTTTTGGCATTCATAAAAGTGATCTGAAGTTTATTTTGTGTGTTAAGTTGGTACAAAGCAGTATAATAAGCGGGATAATGTATAGCATACAGGTCATTATCGGAAAATAAGTACCGACAGGGCGAAGCGGACCCCGACACGCAAGACACTGTAGATTGGGCCTAAAATCTAGAGCTGGATTTGAAAGACTGTTGCCATGGCAGCAGCTGGCAACGTGAATAAGATCAGCTGTTGAGTCTGATCGGTGTAAAGAGAGTGCCATATATTTGTTATATTTACATTGTTATTTTTACAGAACAGCCTTGATTAGTCAAGGCCACAAAGTCTCATAACACACTTATCATCCAGCCCTATATGTGTTTAACTTTACACTGTATATACTGTAGACAGATGGAAATGAATCAATATTGAAGTATTTACAGCTAGCTAAGAATCATAGCAGCATGTTTATTGATTTTATTTTATTTATTATTCTTTAATGAGAGATATACTTGATGTATTCTATGTATTCTTTTGTTATTTTGTCCTATTTGTAATTAATTGGATGCATGTGTATACCGTACATATATAACTATGTATTTTTGTTGTACTTTTTTCATCTATTTTTTATATATATATATTTTCTTATGGTTTGCCTTTTTGGTTTTACGTTTTCTTCCATATGTGTGACTTTATGGATTACATCTAAAAAAATTGAAGTTACTAAGCAGCTTCTTCTGTGTGCTCTTCCTTCTGACTTTATACATTTGAATGCATTGTCCTTTTTTATTTTTTATTTCCATTTCATTCTTTTTTTTTGTATGGACCAATTTTATCTTGAGTCTGAAATAAAAATGTATATATACTGTCCTGAACATGCGCTGCAAAACCCACATTTACCCACTATATACTGTAAATCCCACCACATGCACTAATACAGCTGAACTAATATCATAACGACATAATCTAACAAGCCTGCATCATAATACGTCAAATTAAAAGCATAAAATGCCTAAAATATGGAAGAAAAAGACTGAATTGTTGCTGTTGTACGGCAGGCAGAGTGTGCATGGCTGTGTCTCAGTTCTGGGATTGACTAATAAATGTGGGGTGACAGTTGAAAACAAACTTTCTGGTTTGGCTGCCAACAGTCGTCGAGCGCTCGCAGGCCTGTTACTCACTGTCACATGATGCATCTTGGAACAGAATATTCAGATCCCTGTAGATTTGTCTACATTGAATCTAACAAAGTCTGCGAGCCACAAAATCACTGCGTCGGTTCTGGTGGCGGTGCCAAAAACCGGGTAAATGCACAAAACGGCGTGGGAAGGACGGCCAGATGAAGTATTTCCAGAGTATAGTGCTCTGACTTTGATATAAATAGTAAGGGTTTTAGTTGTTAGACACATATGAGTGGTAGGAGAAGAATTGGAATGGATGGATGGACACGGATAGGTCTGCCCCGCCTCCTAATGTGGTTCACCTGTGTCTATATGTACCTGTGACTCTCTGTGTCTATGTGTACCTGTGACTCTCTGTGTCTATATGTACCTGTGACTCTCTGTGTCTATATGTACCTGTGACTCTCTGTGTCTATATGTACCTGTGACTCTCTGTGTCTATATGTACCTGTGCCTCTCTGTGTCTATATGTACCTGTGACTCTCTGTGTCTATATGTACCTGTGACTCTCTGTGTCTGTATGTACCTGTGTCTCTCTGTGTCTATATGTACCTGTGCCTCTCTGTGTCTGTATGTACCTGTGTCTCTCTGTGTCTATATGTACCTGTGACTCTCTGTGTCTATATGTACCTGTGCCTCTCTGTGTCTGTATGTACCTGTGCCTCTCTGTGTCTATATGTACCTGTGTCTCTCTGTGTCTATATGTACCTGTGCCTCTCTGTGTCTATATGTACCTGTGTCTCTCTGTGTCTATATGTACCTGTGCCTCTCTGTGTCTATATGTACCTGTGACTCTCTGTGTCTATATGTACCTGTGACTCTCTGTGTCTGTATGTACCTGTGCCTCTCTGTGTCTATATGTACCTGTGACTCTCTGTGTCTATGTGTACCTGTGACTCTATGTGTCTATATGTACCTGTGTCTCTCTGTGTCTATATGTACCTGTGACTCTCTGTGTCTTTTTGTACCTGTGTCTCTGTGTCTAAATATACCTGTGTCTATATGTACCTGTGTCTCCGTGCCTATATGTACCTACCTCTCTGTGTCTACTGTATATGTACCTGTGTCTATTTGTACCTGTGTCTCTGTGTCTATATGTACCTGTGTCTCTCTGTGTCTGTATGTACCTGTGCCTCTCTGTGTCTATATGTACCTGTGACTCTCTGTGTCTATATGTACCTGTGACTCTCTGTGTCTGTATGTATCTGTGCCTCTCTGTGTCTATATGTACCTGTGACTCTCTGTGTCTATATGTACCTGTGACTCTCTGTGTCTATATGTACCTGTGCCTCTCTGTGTCTATATGTACCTGTGTCTCTCTGTGTCTATATGTACCTGTGTCTCTGTGTCTATATGTACCTGTGACTCTCTGTGTCTATATGTACCTGTGTCTCTCTGTGTCTGTATGTACCTGTGACTCTCTGTGTCTATATGTACCTGTGTCTCTCTGTGTCTATATGAACCTTTGTCTCTCTGTGTCTATATGTACCTGTGTCTCTCTGTGTCTATATGTACCTGTGTCTCTCTGTGTCTATATGTACCTGTGTCTCTCTGTGTCTATATGTACCTGTGACTCTCTGTGTCTTTTTGTACCTGTGTCTAAATATACCTGTGTCTATCTGTACCTGTGTCTCTGTGTGTCTATATGTACCTGAAAAAAAAGTGCAGACTCTCTTCTTCTCCTGATGTATCTCTGTGTAAACACGGCTCCCCAACACATTCTACTTTGGAAAAACTCAGAGAGGGAAGAGCTTTGGAGCCGGAGCGTGGGTGGTGCAGTGGCTCTCTCTCTCTCTCTGTCTCTCTCTCTCTGTCTCTCTCTCTCTCTCTCTGTCTCTCTCTCTCTCTCAGTGACAAATCCTCTCTATCTGCCTCTCTCTCTTTTTCTGTCTCTTTGCCTCTCTCGGTCTCTCTCTCTCTCTGTGTGTTAAATCATTTACTATATGCCTCTATCTCTTTTTCTGTCTCTCTTTGCCTCTCGGGTCGCTCTCTCTTTCTCTATCTCCCACTCTCTCGCTGTGTTAAATCTTTTCTATCTGCCTCTCTCTCTTTTTCTGTCTCTCTCCTCCTCTCGCAGTCGCTCTGTCTTTCTCTCGCTCTCTCTCAGTGTAAAATCATTTCTATTTCCCTCTCTCTCTCTTTTTTTGTCTCTCTTTGCCTCTCTGTCACTCTTCCTCTTTCCCACTCTCTGTGTTCAATCATTTCTATTTGCCTCTCTCTCTCACTGTAACTCACTCTCTTTCTCTCTGTCTCTCTCTTTTTCCCTTGCCTTCTCTATCTCTCTCTCTTGCTAATGTACATAATGAAAAGTGCAAGCTCGGTCATTTCTCGCCCATAGAAGGGTCTGATGAGAGCCCGAGACAATAGCAGTGCATTAATCACCTTGACACGTCCCACGCGGTGGCTTTGGAATGCACTGTACCCACATCCACGTGCACTGTACCCACATCCACGTGCACTGTACGCACATCCACGTGCACTGTACCCACATCCACGTGCACTGTACCACATCCAAGTGCACTGTACCCACATCCACGTGCACTGTACGCACATCCACGTGCACTGTACCACATCCACTGTACCCACATCCACGTGCACTGTACCCACATCCACGTGCACTGTACCCTCCACGTGCACTGTACCCACATCCACGTGCACTGTACCCACATTCACATGCACTGTACCCACATCCACGTGCACTGTACCCACATCCACGTGCACTGTACCCACATCCACGTGCACTGTACCCTCCACGTGCACTGTACCCACATCCACGTGCACTGTACCCACATCCACGTGCAATGTACCCACATCCACGTGCACTGTACCCACATTCACATGCACTGTACACACATCCACGTGCACTGTACCACATTCACGTGCACTGTACCACATCCACGTGCACTGTACGCACATCCACGTGCACTGTTCCCACATCCACGTGCACTGTACCCACATCCACGTGCACTATACCCACATCCACGTGCACTGTACCCACATCTACGTGCACTCTACCCACATTCACGTGCACTGTACCACGTGCACTGTACCACATCCACGAGCACTGTACCCACATCCACGTGCACTGTACCCACATCCACGTGCACTGTACCCACATCCACGTGCACTGTACCACATCCACGTGCACTGTACCCACATCCACGTGCACTGTACCCACATCCACGTGCACTGTACCCACATCCACGTGCACTGTACCCACATCCACGTGCACTGTACCCACATCCACGTGCACTGTACCACATCCACGTGCACTGTACCACACCCACGTGCGTACCCACATCCATGACTGTACCACACCCACGTGCACTGTACCCACATCCACGTGCAATGTACCACACCCACGTGCACTGTACCCACATCCACGTGCACTGTACCCACATCCACGTGCACTGTACCACATCCACGTGCACTGTACCACACCCACGTGCACTGTACCCACATCCACGTGCACTGTACCCACATTCACATGCACTGTACCCACATCCACGTGCACTGTACCCAAATCCACGTGCACTGTACCACATTCAGGTGCACTGTACCCACATCCACGTGCACTGTACCACATTCAGCTGCACTGTACCCACATCCACGTGCACTGTACCACATCCACCGTGCACTGTACCCACATCCACGTGCACTGTACCACATTCACGTGCACTGTACCCACATTCATATGCACTGCACCCACATCCACGTGCACTGTACCCACATCCACGTGCACTGTACCCACATCCACGTGCACTGTACCCACATCCACGTGCACTGTACCCACATCCACGTGCTCTGTACCCACATCCACGTGCACTGTACCCACATCCACGTGTACTGTACCCACATCCACGTGCACTGTACCCACATCCACGTGCACTGTACCCACATCCACGTGCACTGTACCCACATTCACATGCACTGTACCACATCCACGTGCACTGTACCCACATTCACATGCACTGTACCCACATCCACGTGCACTGAACCCACATCCACGTGCACTGTACCCACATCCACGTGCACTGTACCCACATTCACATGCACTGTACCACATCCACATGCACTGTACCCACATCCACGTGCACTGTACCCACATCCACATGCACTGTACCCACATCCATGTGCACTGTACCCACATCCACGTGCACTGTACCCACATTCACGCGCACTGTACCACATCCACATGCACTGTACCCACATCTACGTGCACTGTACCACATCCACGTGCACTGTACCCACATCCACATGCACTGTACCCACATCCACGTGCACTGTACCCACATCCACTGTACCACATTCACGTGCACTGTACCCACATCCACGTGCACTGTACCCACATCCACGTGCACTGTACCCACATCCACGTGCACTGTACCACATTCACGTGCACTGTACCCACATCCACGTGCACTGTACCCACATCCACGTGCACTGTACCCACATCCACATGCACTGTACCCAAATCCACGTGCACTGTACCCAAATCCAAGTGCACTGTACCCACATCCACGTGCACTGTACCCACATCCACGTGCACTGTACCCACATCCACATGCACTGTACCCAAATCCACGTGCACTGTACCCACATCCACATGCACTGTACCCACATCTACGTGCACTGTACCACACATCCACATGCACTGTACCCACATCCACGTGCACTGTACCACATCCACGTGTACTGTACCCACATCCACTGTACCACATTCACGTGCACTGTACCCACATCCACGTGCACTGTACCACATTCACGTGCACTGTATCCACATCCACGTGCACTGTACCCACATCCACGTGCACTGTACCACATCCACGTGCACTGTACCCACATTCACGTGCACTGTACCACATCCACGTGCACTGTACCCACATCCACGTGCACTCTACCACATTCACGTGCACTATCTGTCCAGAGATGTGGAAGTGCGCCGCAAAAAATATGTATTAGAGGCAAAAATGGCGGCGTTTTGTGACCCATTCGCACTTTGAACACTTGAGAATGAAAAATCTGGGTCAGATTTATTTACTGAAAATATCATGAATGATGCTTATTTTTTTACTGGCAACAATTTATTTTTATTTTTTTTGCTTGAATGAAGTTTGTCACCTAAGATTTTTTGTCTAGTTTTAAGATAATAATTCTTCTTTCTTGTTTCTAGACAACTTTTCTCGTTTAGATAAAATAACTTTGTGAGGCTATATTCGAAGAAAACTTTTCTCAAAAATGTTTAAAAAATATGTAAACAATACTTGAAATCTTGTCGAGTCATATCAAAATATTCTTGTTCTATTGACGGATGTGTTTTTATATTTCAAGCATATATATATATTTCTAGTTTTTTCTATGAATTTAACGCCATAAACAAATATGACAGTGTAATGGGACATAGCACACACAAAGAGTAGTCCTACACTGTCATTATAATTGTTGTTAAGGCAAGGCAAGTTTATTAGTATAACACAGTGTATACACAAGCCAAAGATAGACATTTTATACCGCAGCGGGGGGATCGGGCCAAGTGGGGTTAAGTGTCTTGCCTAAGGACACACAAGCAAAAAGACATCCGCGGAAGTCGTGCGCATAGATATGTATATATTAACGGACGTAATCTCCGCCGTTCTAACTAATGTGCCATAACTAATGTGCCAAAAATGTGGCTTTCATGAAGTGATTAAAAATGGCTGTGGGGGCTGGAAATGTGAAAAAACTGGTCGTGAGGTAGGTCTCGTGGTGGACTCGAACCTACAACCTTCGGGCTCAAAAGGCTAATGCTTTACCAACTCAGCCACTGTCGCCACATCTTCACATTTAAAATATGTAAATACATGAACGGGAATGTGGGAAACGTCCATACCTTGCTAGTAATTGTTGATGTAGCGAAGCAATAGTGTCTTTTCTCTCTGTATGTTTATCCCGACCTTCACAGAAGCTGCTCCCGACACAATCAAACGCCTTAAAGGGCCCCTATCCCTTTGTCATGTCTCCTGTTTCCAATTCTCGTCTCGGGATATTGCATCTGCTTATCTTTTGCAAAGTATTCCAGGTACGCATGTTTGTTCTTGAAATTTTTTTCCCCGAAGCTGTATTGCTTTTTAATCTACCGCCGGCCGCATTGATGTGTGACGCAAAACGGGGGAATAAAGTCCTGAAGGACAGTTTGAATTATTCTATCGATGCCTCGGGTTCCGGTTTTGCATAACGACGACAGGTGAGACCGCTTCGGCGAGCTGTGATTTGCATCTGTTATATGAAAGAATTCCGACAAGCATGTCCTACGTTTCTATATAAAGACAGTGCAGCTGTTTTGTTTTGCTTTTGTGTTTGAAAAGTTGAAACCTGGTCATTCTCATTACGTGGAGATTGGATTTTTCATCCTGCATCTACCGTCCATAAGGGGGAGAACCAACCAATCATGTCGCAGTATGCTTTATCATATATATATATACAGCTTGTACACTGGGAGGACCAATCAGCATCATGGAAATGTTTTGCCGAGGGGTTTGAGATGGGAATCAAAAACCGGCGTCCTCCAGGGGCATCGCTTGACTAAAAGTAGAAACATATCCATATTCACTGACCTTTCTGGAGCTTAATTAATCTCATTTGATCGATATTCAATACATTGATTTGTAAAAAAAACAATGTGTAAAAAAAATCTAAAATGCAGCCCGATTGCAATCTTACATGGTTTGCTTTAAGCTCTTTCGCAAAATCTTAAACAAATTTGGGATGGATGTGTTTTAGGGGCTGATGTTGCAGTGGTGGGTGTAGGCGCTGTCTCTCTGGCTGGGCCTTTAGCGTGGTAGGTGAGTACTATGGTGGGACTTGAGGTGTGGAGGAGACTGGCCGGCATCACGGTAGTGTTCCTTGACGGTCTGGTGAGAGTGCTTTCTTTCATTCTCAATTGCAGTTAAAACAAAAACAAAAGTAAAAGCTTCCTTTGTCTAAAGGTAGAGTGATGCAGTCACATGGATGATAATCTGCTCTTCTTAAAGTCAAGGAGTGAGACAGCTAATCTAATACATGACAAAACAATGTGTTCCCTGCTCAAGGAGATATTATGAAAATACATTGTACGGTACAGAGATAAAGCAAAATTGTTGATTGTGGCTCATGAAGCTGTTGGAAGGCTGTAGTGAGTGTTGGCCTCTCTTTTCTGTGCGGATGGTCTGCTGCTGTGGGTTTGCTTGGTGCGCCTAGGACTGGTGGGAGAGGGCAGTGCCGAACTTACCGGTGCGCGTTGGCCACTATGGCACATTGGTCTCAAAGAAACGTGTGTAGATATGTATGTGTATAAAGATACATATTTGATATATATGACAAGACAACCACTATAGTATGTGTGTATGAATATTGTATACATATGTATTGTTATGTCTGTATGGATGTGTGTGGGCGGGTATGTGCAACCGTATAAAGTGAATATAGGTATAGGAGCCTATAAGCTTGACTTCTCCCCACTCCTTTTTGAGCTTTAACAGGAGTGAAAATAAATAAAATAATAAATAAATGTACCATAGGATCCAGACAAATTTGCATTCACAAGACACAAGCTGTTAGTAAAGTGTAACACTGAATACCACCAAAACATTAAACTAGCTGCATTCTGAATGTGTTCTCTGTATTTAGTTACAACTCGAGCTGTCCAAAGAAATTCGCCTTTTTCCGCAAATCCCATTAAACGCGAGTGTTCGGTTTGTGTTTTGCCCTGGTCTTGCTGCTCGCTGTGAAAGAGACTGTTTTTTACTCGCTTCTGTTGTAGATTTCAAATACAACACACACGGATTCAAGAGCACAATCATGCTCTCATTCATGAATCAACGTTTATCAAATTGTGAAATTATATATTTAATCATGGAATGTTTTGGACTAGTGCTTGACGACCCAGAAATGGATTAATTAAGGGATACAAAGTGTTTTTATATGACGTGTTTTCATATTAGCCTGGGGTTAGTTAGATTACAGAGTTCAGTGAGAAACTTCCTCTTCTTCTTCTACACATTTTCATAAAACAACAGTGAGTCAGTCTGATGCAGGGACAGGGAGAGGACTGCGAGTACCTGGGAGTCCTCGATCAGTTGTCAGACCTGGAGGGAAGGTTTTTGGCTCTGCTCATATTGGGATAGTTAGAGAAATGGGAGCTCAGAGTTTGTATTAGTATTTCATCGTAAAGAGAATTTGTTTTTGTTTATTTGAATATCGTCGTCTTCTTTTATGGTCAAATTCTGCATCATGTCCACAAAGCTTCTGAATGAAAAGTTGAGTCTCAGAAAGTTGCCTGACGAGACCGAAGATGTCTGTGTGTATTGTCACCGTCGCACATCCACTTTGAAATACTCCTGACGCACGACTGACGCCAACTCTTCTTCTCCGCCGCGTTCTTCTCAAGACGCATGGATAGAACTTAGAACAAACTTCTATATCTCCCTGTTTTATTAGAAAGGGAAGTTGAAGGGGCTTTTTTGTTACCATCCTACATGTTGTGCATCCGTTTAAGAGAAATATGTGTGATATAACAATCATAATTCACGGGACATAAAGAATAGATGCAGATTTGCAATTTAATACCGAGTTAAAGTAGCAATATGTAGGATTTTCATGTCAAGTCATCATTAAAGGGCCCTAATCTTTCCAAAGGCATTCATCTTTTCCAATACTTCTTTAACTGATAACAGTAGCTCAGAGATATTTGGATTTAAAAATTAGTTTAACAGCCCCTAAATCTTGTTATTGATTTCATTTACATGTCATGCCCACCACCGTTTTATCACCCAGAATGTCTGTGATCTGGGTTGCCAGAACTCACCGCATTGAGCTAATCTCACTGGTAAAGTACCATGTGGCCACAGAACTAAAAAAGGTCTCGTTATGATTCTCAAATTATTGACGACAAATTAAGGATTAAAACCAGGATTTCTATCTTTGTGAAAAAGGTGTTGGTTATAGATTTGTTGTTGGCAAAACGTGTCTATTCAGCTGTTATGGTCCAACCGGGATTCATGTGCATATCTGGCAACCTGAGTCAGGGAGAGTGGGAGAGGCTGCAGTACCACTTTGGGCCAGATTTTTACATATTGCTCCTTTAACGATGACATTCATGCAATTAATCCCCAAAAATATATACATATATAAACATAAATTAAGATAAACATCACAATACGGGAAGAACCAAGAACTAAGCTCACAGTCCTCGTCAATCAATCAATCACAGTCAGCTGCAGCGCCACACTGCCCTCAACTGGCAGCAATCAAGCACTGCCCGCATCAAGCTTCATTCTGTGAGGAAGCCACAACTTAATTCACGCCACAACCCTCCTCCTCCCCAACTCCGGGGTCCAAACGCCAAATCCTAACCATATGTCTGTACAGCAACAATACATGTAATCTTGAAACTATTGTCCTCGGAGTCAAGATGGCGCCTCGTACGGTCGACATGGCTCTTTGCTGCTCTCTTTTTCTTTTGTTTTTACTTTTTAACTGTGCATCTGGCTGTTCCTACACCCGTGAGGAACTTATGAACATCCGACCCACCGTTCCCATGGACCTATTGCCTGTTTTCTTGGCATCTGCGGCTGATTTAGTTCATGTTCTAGCCAAAAAAGTGTGGGCCCGTAAAAGGGGAAAGCGAGGAGGCCTGCTCGTGCGTCTTAG